ACACAAATAGTAGGTCAGAGCCTGCTGCATTTAGATTAAACGTAAAACATGCTTTGTCTGCAATTGCCTTAGTGAACCTCAACAAGTTTTACATGCATAGAATATGACACTGTCTCCAGAAGTCAGAATCAGTTCAGCAGCAGATGGATATTATCTTTTGAAGTCAAAAACTAAACCATCCTTTTGGTTGTTACAATTACTTAGACCACTTAAGTCAACAGCAAGTTCCTTTCACCAGCCAGAATATTCTCTACCCTTGGCTGGAACATAATGCTGCTAAATTGTTACTTTCAAGTAATTACGTGCACACAGTTGTGATATAATTGAACATTCCCCTCAATTTCAGGGAGGATTACCTCAAACACCAAATCTTCCCTTCAAATCAATTGGCATCCTTCATTTGCGAGGGATGTGGGAAATACAGCCTCAGTTTTGGGGAAGTCAGATGAGAATCTCTACTGCACTTCTTTTGATGGCTGAACAAACAGATTTGCAAAAGGTAAAGTCCATGACAAACTAAGTTACCCCAAACTAGTGGTGTGGGAAGATCCCTACTAATGCTTTGTTTGCAGGACTGATATTGGCTTCAAAAGATTCAAAGACATCATTATTTTGGTGAACCCCTTCCCTCAATTGGAGGGATATTTGCACCCACTATCAGCTGGAGTTTCTCCACTTACCATGATTGATATCAAGGACTTTCATGCTCTTTTAAAATCCTTGAATCAGAGCTTTGGAGGTCTTAGTCTCTTGTTTGAGGCAACCTCCTCGTATAGCATACACTTGGATACAAGGGGCTCTTGCAGCCCTGTGGCAGCATCCCTACTTCTGGGGCAGAATCCCAGGTTCAAGTCCCATCTGCTCCAGAAGAATTTCATAAACAGGCCTGAACAGACTGATTAAAATAACTTCCTTTGGGGACATGCCCATCTTCTATTCTACACATATGCCCTGCCATTCTACCTAGGACTGTAGAGTGCCTTGCGGACATGCATCACAGAGGAGGCATTACACAGGCTCTACACATTTGGTTCAAGCAGTAGCAGTTAGTTGTGCATTTGTTCACAACAACTCCATTGGTTTATCAAAGACCTGGGTTAGAACCTGTGAACATCTTTAGCCATCAATTCCAAAATATATTCTTCTAAAAATAGGACTTTACAGAGACAATAACTAGGTACAAAGAAATAAAAACACTTACGTGGGACTGATGGTATGTAATACCCAATGGTGTCAAAGAAACTCCAAACAGGTCAGTCAGAGATATCTTGTGATCACAAACAAGGGCTGATGACAAGACATCCATTGTAGATTATGTCCCAGACGGCAGGCAAATTCTGTGTTTCTCTTTGAAGAACATACCAGGTCAGAGGCTAACATCAGTTTCAGCTCTACTCCAGTGGACAATGGGTCTGAACACTCACGTGTCCTCTCCTGGGTTCGCATGCTAGCATTGAAGAACAATCCCTAGTCAACCCTGTGCTGCAGGTTAAAAAAATTCCCTCACTCCAAGCACTGCAAGCCAGTTTTTATTTAAAAAAAATGTCAGCCTACAAATTTGAGAATCTCAAAAAGAAACTGTTCAACCAATGTCAATACTACTGGTAACTTCCACTAAGACAGCCACAACATTCAACTAACCAGTCTACACAAACAATTCAGAGACAAATCCAATCATCTTACCCATTTAATATTTTAGGCTTTTAGATTCAACTCTTTCCAGTCTGAGTGCATGTGTATTGCATTAAAAATCAAAAGAACTGTAGATGCTGTGAATTAGGAACAAAAACAAAGTTGCTGGAAAAGCTCAGCAGGTCTGGCAGCATCCATGGATGAGAAAACAGAGTTAACGTTTCGGGTCCGGTGACCTTTCCTCACATTGCACGTGTGTGTATTGCATCAGTCTAGATTAGTGTTTAGCAATGAAAACTCAATGTTATTTAAAAAAAGCACCTTGGGCAAATTGGGAAAACAAAGTTCATTTTGGTGTTGGAGAAAGGTACTCTAGGAAAGGGATCCTTTTTAAACTAAAATAACAAGGTGTGGAGCTGGAGGAACACAACAGGCCAGGCAGCAGAGGAGCAGGAAAGCTGATGTTTCGGGTCGGGACCCTTGTTTTGGGTCAGGACCCTCTGAAGGGTCCTGACCTGAAACATCAGCTTTCCTGCTCCTTGGATGCTGCCTGTCCTGTTGTGTTTCTCCAGCTCCACACCTGGTTATCTCAGACTCCAGCATCAGCAGTTCTTACTATCTCTTTTTAAACTAAAAACTTGCTTTAAACAACTGAGGGAATGAGTGAATAAAGGAACACAGTCATTTCATCCCTTATCACCCAGGAGCTTTTCAGATATCTTGTTTAGAACCCGCATAAATTGGGGAATCTCACCTCAGTTATGGGTGTGCCAGGATCACACAACTGCACCGGAGGCATATTATCACCATGTGGCAAATCACTGATGCAGCTCTGCACAGAGTCACTTAAATACATTGACTTTTGTGTGAGAACTTTCATCTAAGCCTAACACTGTCTTTGTCATATGCTTCATCTTTGTAAATAGATTCTCATTTCCACATCCTGTTCCTACATCCCTTTATTACTTTTAACTTCAGTCACCAATTCAAGGAGTGTTGATGGTTTCAGTTTTTGTATGAGCCCTTAATCTTGGAAGAGAATTCCCCATCCTGAATACATTTAAACTGAAATCTACATTCCTTGTTCTTGGTTCACTCAGAAAATAATTTACATTTGTCTTCTCAATTTTAAAAAAATTCTACTGCATTGTCCTGCAATTAATTGCCTTAATGAAAGAAGCCTGAGTTTTTCCAAGTCTATTGTCGCATTGACATTTCCTCACACAGGCAACTACCAAATGAAGTGTTTCAGGCCCCCTCTAAAGCCTTATTAGTCTTCCTAATTTGTGGAACCTCATACCTCAAGGGGGAGGCACTGGCCTAGTGATATTATTGCTGGACTTAATCCAGAAACCCAGCTAATGTTCTGGGGACCTGGGTTTGAAAGCCCCCACAGCACATGGTGGAATTTGAATTAAAAACAAAAATCTGGAGTTAAGAGGCTAATGACGAACATTGTCGATTGTTGGAAAAAACCCATCTGGTTCACTGATATCCTTTTGGGGAAGGAAACTGCCATCTTTACCTGGTCTGGCCTACATGTGATTCGAGATCCACAGCAATGTGGTTGACTCTGAACTCTGGGAAGTTAGGGATGGACAATAAATGCTGCCTAGGCAGCAACGCCCTCATCCCGTGAATGAATAAGTAAAAAGTAAAAAAGTAAAAAAAAACTACACATATACTCTGAGGTAGGGCTTCCTAAAGTGGGGTCAAGGACCTAAGTGGAGACGGAATTTTGGGGTTGCCAGCTCACAGGCAGCAGTGGCCAGAGCGAACATTGCAGAGTTATAACGAAGGGGTAGTCTGGATCTAACTGGCCACTGCTCTCTATTCTCAGAGGATAGGCCAAAACAATTTATGCCTTGAAATGGTTTCATTCAGGGTTAACAGACAACGTTGTCAGGTCCCATTCAGGCTTTATAATGGAAGCTGAAAGCCCCTTGGCTCCTGTATTCTCAATCCAAAACATCCATTAGCTCATTTTATACTGCCTTAATCTCACAATGTTGCCTTTAATGTCCTGTGAACCTGCCACTCCCAAATTCCCATGTTCTTGGAGAGCATTCCATGTCCCAACAACTCCCCATTTTTAAAAAAAAAAATTACTCACCTTTTCCTGGGTGCTTGTGAAATCTTAAAACTTGTATCACCCAGTTACAGTTTTGTTACCCCCTTACCAAAATATACCTCGAATTTAAAATTAGGAATGGTGATAAAGGCAAGATAAATAAAGGCTCCAAAGCCGAGATTGACAGACTGGGGTGAGGGAAAAGAGAAAGAGAGCTGCCAACAGGAATTGGGTGAATGATAGGATGAGTACTGGTGTGAATTCAGAAAGGAGGGTGAGAAAGGCCAACGTGACCTTGGAGTGGGATGAATGGAATGTTCTTATGAATTGGAGGGAGCTTTCAGACAGGAGGTTTACTTGGCAATGAGTACGGTATGTGGTTTAGCTAACATATCAATCAATATGTTGAGATGTTTATTCTACTCCCCCAACTTAACTGCGCTTTTTAAAAGTGTAAGGAACAACATTTAAAATATCTGACTTCAAGATAGGGATTGAAATACACGAATGAAATCATTGAAACTTCGTATTATCAAACACTCGGTTTAAAGTCTCCTGTGCGAAGTCAGAGGAGGACGGTTTGATCTAGTTTCAGTATTTAAAATGAAACAAGCTTGTCGCTCTGTAGTTTACTATTTCTATTTGCTATTCTTCAGCGTTAAAAAAAAACGGGCACCACTGATGTAAAAGAATAAGCTGAAAGTGGCAAGTGAATGCAAGGAGACACTAATCGAATTTTGGGTTCAGAAGTAAAACGCGTTGCATTTCAGATAAATTCAATCCACTGTTCTTTAAAGTCTGATTTAAAAAAAAGGAAAGAACCTTCTTTTCGAACGCACTGATTGTCAGATCTCACATATTGCCCACGTTCGCTGCATTGCGCTTCGACGAAGAAAGATAGATTGCTGCTTTCAGATTGTATTTACTTCTGATCCCGATTCACATTCCTAGTTATAAGTTTAGGAATCAGTTTGCTTCTCTCTCCACTTCACACACATTAAATTCCCACTGAACCCTGCCTCTCGGTGCGTGTCAGAAACCCACAACGTAACAATCTACAGAGAAACTCGACTTCTTTAAACGATTTATCAATGGAAATTTTCACTTACCTTTAAAAGGAACGGGATCCAGAATTTTAATTTTAGAAAAAAAAAAGTAGTCAAATCCGAGATAGTGAGCACTTAACAGTTTGGGACATGCTCAACCGTGAACTAGATCCTTCACTGTGTGATATCCAGATGTGAAAGTGCAATTTCCCCCTTAGTACCATCTCCAATCATGAACTGTTTAATATTACCTTATCTAAAGGCACCCAGCGGAAGTAATTTGCTGCGTACGTCAGAAGGCATTCCTCCCTTCCATTGCTCCATCACACCAGCTGGTCGCTTGAAATTTCGGAATCTAATTTTTAGGATATCAATAATTAATTATTGTATTCAATTAAATATTGAGGAAGCTATGATTAGTCAGTGGATGGATATTCTGCAGTTTATATCATTGAATCATATAAACCAGGGTCAATGTCCTAGCTGAAGCGTATGCTTTCAACCGAAACATTCATGCTCGTATTACAGGTAATCCTTCCCCCACCGAGAGAGGCACAGAGTATCACTAGTATTCTAATAACTTTTATAAGGAAGTGTGGCAAGATTTTCTGAGATCAGGGTTAGGCTCAGTACCTCACCGCTATAGCTCACCCATGGAGATCCCCGTTTTCTGAGAGATTCAAGGACTACAGTCAGTTATATCTCAATCGTATCAAAGCATTAAATGTTATCTCAGCTCAGGTGATATCACTCTCTCCTCAGGAGGTCATTCAACTTTCACATTAACAAACAAAAAAGCAGCAATGAGATAAATAGTATACAAACAAAAAGGGTGTTTTGGATGAGATGCTACTCTGACCACCACCAGTTCAGCTGGCTGTGGAAAGTAATAATAGCAAAGATAGAATGCAGGCTTTTAACAACAATCTCCCATTAAATGTCTATTTGTGAGTTATAGATTTCAGGTGTGCCAATAAAGAATTTCTTTGCTTGAGGCAGAATCTTTTCCTTTGGGAAGGAAGGGACCTTGGGTGGAAAATTTGGCAAGGATAATTTTTACTTGTTGGTAGTTATAGAAGATTTAGACTTAGAATTGATTATTCTTTGGAACTGATAAAGCACAATTTATAAAAAAGCAGAGTTCTGAAAGACAGAAAATATCAGAAAAAAGTTACTGTCTTACAACAGTTCCTTCTCATTTACTACAAAAAGGTAATTCATTTTGTAATTACTAAGATCAACAAAGGGCCATGGGTCACAGGCTGGTTCCAAATAATTAGTCTCAGCAATGTAGTCCACAGTAGATAGAGAAGACAGCAGATCCAATCCACCAGCAACTGAAACAGTTCACTTTTCATCAAATATTTTTATCCGAGTTGCCATGGAGAAGGAAGAAAGAAACACCACTCAGTCCCTCAAACATGTTAAATCTAAATTGCAACTGTATTTGATCCATATTCTTTGACACCATTATCTAATAAAACTTTCAGTCTTAGTGGTGAATACTTCAATTGCATTCACACACCTTTTATGAAAAAGTGATTTCTGATGTTACTTCTAATGTATTAGCTCTAATGTTAAAATATTGCTTCCATTTTCTGGATTCCTACATCAAGAGGAAATAGTTTGTAACAGATCTAACCCTCTCAATTCTTCCTATAATTTTGAAGATTTTGTTTAGATAATCCCTCACCCTTCTGAACTCAAGGGACCAGAAATTAAACTTATAAAAGAAGGAGATGGTTTAGACAGCCATTAGGATTTCCTTGTGCAGATTGAAATTCTGGCTGACCCCATACATCTTTAAGCACACCAAAAAGTGAGTTTCCAGGCGCAAGGGCACAGCTGAGGTATTAAATATATTTTTGCATCAGTCTTTGCAAAGAAAACATGATACCCAAACCACGGTGACAGTGGAGGAAATTCAATTACTGTAAGGGTTTAAAATTGATAAGGAGAAGGAAACGAATAAGATATCAGAAATTAAACACATCAATACCAGGTAAGATCCATCCAAAGATACTGTAAGGAAACAGGAGGTGAAATTGCCGGGTCACCTGCTATAATTATTCAGTCTTCTCTGACTAGTGATTCATTTTGGAAGGTTGCATTTGAATGCAGAATATAGGGTTAATTGCAGGATCCTTGGCAGTGTGGAGGAACAGAGGGATCTTGGGGTCCACGTCCATAGATCAGGTCCAAAGTTGCCACCCAAATTGATAGGGTTGTTAAGAAGGCATATAGTGTGTTGGCTTTCATTGGCAAGGGGACTGAGTTTACGAGCCACAAGGTTATGCTGCAGCTCTATAAAACCCTGGTTAGACCACACTAAGAATAGTGTGTTCAGTTCTGGTTGCCTCATTATAGGAAGCATGTGGAAGCTTTAGAGAAGGTGCAGAGGAGATTTACCAGGATGCTGCCTGGACTGGAGGGCAGGTCTTATGAGGAAAGATTAAGGGAGCTAGGGCTTTTCTCATTGGAGCGAAGCATGAGAGGTGATTTGATAGATACAGGTGTACAAGATAATGAGAAGCATAGATAGAGTGGATAGCCAGAGACTTTTTCCCAGGATGGAAATGACTATCACGAGGGGGCATAATTTTAAGGTGATTGGAGGAAGGTATAGGGGAGATGTCAGAGGTAGATTCTTCACACAGAGAGTGGTAGGTACGTGGAATGCACTGTCAGCAGTGGTAGTAGAGTCACATACATTAGGGACTTTTTAAGCGACTCTTGGATGGGCACATGGATGATGGTAAAATGTAGGGTTTGCAGGTTAGTTTGATCTTAGAGTAGGATAATAGGTTGGCACAACATCGTGGGCCGAAGGGACTGTATTATGCTGTACTGTTCTATGTTCTAGAGGACTGACAGAACTGCAAATGTTGTGCCCTTGTTCAATGAAGGATACAAGTAAAATTATATAAAGCACTTTAAAAGTAAAGGATCAATAGAGCAAAAACAGATCAGTCAGTTTAACTTCGATGGCAGAGTAACATTTAAAAAGTGATTCATAGAGAATTAGAGGTCACATGGACAATTGAGCGCTAATTAAGGACAGCCAGCATGGATTTCTTAAGCTGGTTTGGTAAACACAATTTTCCCTTGAGTTTTTTTTTGAAGGAAGAAAGGAAAGGAAGAAAAATTAGCCAAAAAATTCCCCTGTTATTCAAGAGGCAAAAAAAAGGAAAATCTTTATGATTAACCATTTGGAACTTTTGGTGATAAGTGCATATGATACTGTATTCCTACATCAGGGATTTCACTATTCTGACTGGCAGTTTATCAATTGAAAGTTACTCACTGGTCACGAATGAAGATGCAGTATCCAAATTCAGTTATGGTAAACAGTTTGCTTAAAATCAGAACTGTTGCAATTTTATCACCTCTGGTTGACAACTATTGTTATATTATCTTCAAGAAAAGGGGCAAAAAAAACTGCTTGTACCAACAATGAATTATAATTATTAATTTATCTCCAATCAAAAATAAGTCTTCTAGGGGAAGTAGGTAATAAGACTTATGATAAGGGAAAGAGCTGAAAATTCTTCCTAATACTTGAGGTGATATAGAAAAAATTCAAACAGCAGAGCAACATTATTCTACATCATTCAACACTAGTATTTCACAACTAATATTTCAAGGGTCCCAAATGAATGGCAGGCAAAAGTATTCTATCGTATCTATGATCTTGTACATCCACGTTTACTGCTATAATCTTATATAACAGTATATAATAGGTGTCTTAGACCCAACCATCATCAGCTACATTATCAATAACCTCTCTCCAACATAAGGTCAGCAGTAGAAATGGTCAAGGATGATTCAGTACCATTCGTGACTCCTCAGATAATGAAGCAATCTGTGCCCATGTGTAGCAAGACCTGGATTATATTCAGGTTTGGGATGTAAAATGACGACAATCATTCTGAAACATTCTGTGCGGCTTTATGTAAAGTGAAAGAAAAATTCTTCCTATCTAAGGAAACTCAATAAATCAGTGGTTAGTATTGAAAGACAGAGATAAGCAGTGCATGTTAATTTACCTGTCCGATGTTTCACTTTTAGTCTTGACACCTACTGATTAACGAAACTAGATGCGTCAACATAAAACTGTAACGAATTGATAAGCAAATTTAAAGAGCGCTAATTCATTGCACTTTGATTTTAGAGCAGGTTGCTTCAGCGGAAGTGACTCCAACATTTTTATGACACTTCTGAATACAACACATTAAAAGTAAAAGTTACTTACAAAATTCATAATGGTTCCGATATTTCATGAAGTTGAAAATGATTTATTTTTCATTTCAAATGTTTTCCTTACATTTATTTTTCCTGTTTCCTCTTTCCCTTTACAGTTTCCTTTCCCTTTCCACCTACTGTCTTCCAACACTTACATTTTGTTATTTATGTGCTACTTTCAGCTCCTGTGTTTTTGTGTAGATAGAAGTGTAAGAATTGGAAAATAGTACTTCTGGCAAATAAGCGGCTTAGTCTTTGCTGCAAACCAACTTTACCATTACGTTGAGAAAGTAAATCTTTTTTTAAAAAGGTAATTATAAATATGTACATCAAGAATTGCATTAAGCATTAAGAGACAGATTTTTATGAAATCAGGACTCCATGGACCTTCAAAAATGGTAACTAGGACCCATCTCCAGCCCCCACTTCTGACAGTTTTGGTTGTTAGGGGAAAGAAGGAAGGAAACCTGAACACAACAGGGCTCTTTGAACGTATTGCTGAGTTCAAACAAACAATCTCATTTTGAACAGTCCAAAGATCTTAAATTGTAATGTGGAAGTGATGAATTGAGGGAATCGATGCACATTTTCTAGGTGAATTGACGAGGTCTGTATAACTGTCATGATCAAGTGTTTTTTTTCGGAAGCCTGGCTGTTTTGGTATTTTCTACTCAAGTTGTTCAGAGATGCTACTACACGACTCTGGAGCAGGTGGACGTAAATATTGGCCTTCTAGTTCAGAGATAGGGGTGTTCTGGCACAGCGGCAGTGTCCCTAAGGTAACATCGATTTTTCTGGCTGTTTTGAGCTGAGGACCTTCTAGCGTGTGAGGTGAACATGATAATTACTCCAACAACTGAAACAGCAATTTGGCTGCTTCTTAAAAAAATTATCCAGAAGTGCTCTTACACACAACTGAATGGTTTTGTTTTCCACATCACCAAATCACCTGTGGCTTTTTTTTTCATCTATTAACCATCACTAGTAAATCACCCTTGTTTTCCAATTAATTTCCGTGCAAAGCCCATTAAGAGCAATACAAATCATCGGAGGTGGGGGGGCGAAATCAGCCTGGCTGTTTAACTGTTTTTTGTCCCATTGCCAACAGCCTGGCTGTATTTTTTATTAACCTATTTTCTAATGTTATTACACACTTTTGGAACAGGTGGCACTTGAACCTTGGGCCTCCTGACTCAAAGGTAGGGATACTACCACTGTGCCATAAAACTCTGGGAGAATCTCAGATCAAAGCCAGCCTGGCTGTTCAAACTTAAAAGATAAATAGATTATAGCAGCAAGTTTAGAAAGAAACTCTGCTTAGCTGTTCAGATTGATAGACAAAGATTAGAAAGTGAAGTCTGGTCATACAGTTTCAGCAGAACTCTTTGTTGCATTGTCCCAAGGGCTTGCATTATGAATGATTAGCTGCATTTCAAAAGCTATAGTTAACTAAGCGGGCTGTTTTGAGTTCAGTTTGACCAACAACATGAATAGTATATTAAAGGATTAGCTGTCTTTGATAGGTGATCTGATTAAAAGTTTGTTTTTATAAGATATTAACAACCATTTGAGGAAATCTTAAACATATTAAATTGATTTTATGAATGATTTTGTTTTTAGAAATCAGTATTTAGGACTAAGAGTTTTATAAGATTGTTAGAAGTTTATCATTTTTCACTCCACATAGCTTCTGAAGTCTACCATAATGGTAACTTGGTGAGTGGCTGTGAAAGTATGGAAGGGATGAGGGGCAACTGTCCGAAAATCTGTGAAAGC